GTGTTTCTCTCTCTCATACTGGGGGGAAAAAGGATTTAAATATTAAAAGGAGGGGTCTGCACTTGTTCCCAGTTAATGGGAAAATTCATCAATAGGCCCGAAGGCAAGAGTGGAGTACAGGCAGGGAGAGAGTAGCAGCAACTTTGGAAGACAGTCAGCTGGAACCCCCGAGAACTGAAATCAGAAGAGACAGGGACTGGCTCTCTTTTAATGAGTAATTAATTCACATATTGACCTCATGAAGAATGTCTATGTAGCATAAAGTTGTTTTTATTAGAGTTTTATTAGGATTCGTATGCTTCACCCTAAATGGAAAATTTAGTTGCATCACTAGGTCCTACATAGGAATCTATTTTTTGATTGCACACTATAAGATGGTTTGAAGGTCCTTCATGGGCATTCATTTGGTATCTTAGCATGTGTGGTGGTGTCCTGTTAGATTGGGTCAGTCCTTTCTTCAGCCCTATAATTGCCAGCACCAGAACTGGACTTTGGGAAGGGAACTTCCAAACTCATTTTTCCTATTTATCTTGCTTTTTAGACTATCTCCAGTTTATCCTTAGGTACACTACCCTTTCATGAAAGTCTGTGCATCCAGCTATCAGTGGTTCATCCTTTCAGAGCAGTTTTGTTGCACAGAAGCCCAAATGTGCCTTTATGTAGGTTTGTGTGAGGAGGAGAAGGAAGGGTTCCAGCTACCACGAAAGGGACATCAGGGCACCAGCCTCAGGGGTTCTTGTGAAATGTGAGGAGATTGTGGAACCCAGGTATTTCTTCTACAGAAAAGCCACGTTTACAACGTGCTAGTTAATTGAAGTATTTACCCTTCAAATCTTTAGTATTTTCTTTACAGTCCCTAACTTGGAGGTTAGAGAATTTGGAAAAAAATAAGTTGAAACCAGAGTTTTGCCCACATCAGTCACTTCAGTCTGTTTGTCCAGCCAGACCATAGACATCAAACTTCATGCCTGAGACAGGGATGTAGTCTGTATAAACATGTCTCTGGAGGACATCTCAGGTCATGGCTACATTACTTGTATCCAGCTACAGGCTGAATTCTCCCTGTGGAAAAATCCACCCATGTCCAGATTTTTTTCTGTAAAATAGATGCTTTAACCAGGTACCTAAAAGGACATGTGAAAACTTGGTGGTTTTATCTTGTGTGTATACACGTGTATATGTACACACATGTGTTGTGTTACACTGTTTTAGGAATTGTTGCATCTTCTGGGTTTACTGTATGTCAGAAAAAAAGTTTAGCATTAAGCTGTAGTAAAACAGAGCCTTTTGCAGGATTTAGCAAGTACAGGATGTGTCATTGATTGTTCCCTGGAGATGCATCTTTTCTAATGAGAGTCCTAAAATGTTAGAAGACGATAACATAAAACTCCGTAAAACTACTGGAGTTTGCAGACTTATTACCATACTGTACCCATGCTGTAACAGAGGGGGGAAAAGACGTAAATAATCTTTTCCAAATGGGATTGTCGATGGGGGAAATGTGTAAAAATGAAGCTGTTGGCAGAACACTGTTAGCTTATGAATTATACATTTAATTAAGGAAAGCTAAACCGGTAGATTTTTGAAACTTCTGATTTACTGTGCCTTGTTAAAGACAGAATTCCAGTCCTTCTCCCGCTGTTGGGTGCTGGCAGCGGCGCAGAGCAGCATCAGTGCAGGGCTGGCAGGACACTTCGGGTGTTCCTGTGCTGCAGTGTCCTGTGTTAAAGCACTGAACCACTTGCTGCAGTGCTGCTGGCAGGGTAACAAGGCTTGGCCAAAAAGCTCTTCTGAGAAGCAGGGCTCTTGGATGGTAAGCTGGCATGGAGATCTGACCTTCTAGGGTGGGCTAGTCAAATAAATTAGTTTTAAGATGCTTAGACTATAGGCATATGTTATTAAGGTATGCATTGTGAAACACTATGGAAAAAGATGGCAAAAAAGGGATAGGGAGTCAGAATAGGACAAGAAGCACGTTGTGAAACACTATGGAAAAAGATGGCAAAAAGGGATAGGGAGTCATAATAGGACAAGAAGCACAGAGCAGATGTAAGTATGGAAGATGAGGAGAAGGGTCAAATGTGCAATAGGATCAAATATTAAATAATATCAAAATACTTGCCTGCAGCTGAGCTCTGCCCCTCATGAGGATCTGATGATAAATCTCTGTGCTACCGATTTCTTTTTTCCATATTCAGAGAGGAGAAAGGAGCTGTAACACTGACCAGAAATTGTCTCAGTGGATGTTCAGAGGGAAAGTGTTATAAGTGGAAATTATTTACTAAACCAGCTTTCTCATGGCATTGCAGCGCTGCCATTCCTACTTAAAGACAGGTTGAGCAGGAAAATCAAAAGTAGCAGGGGACAAAAACTTTTGTGACCTTCTGAAGTGGCTTGGAATGAGTTTAAAACTAAAGCAATGCTTGCTCTGCCTTTGCTAATTTGTGCATCCCCAGTGCTTTGCCCTGTTCTTTCAACTGGCAATATTGCACTTAAGCACTAAGGGGAGGCAGATTATATTGGAAAGGATGCATGATACGTATCTGGTGTTTTCTAGGCTTGTCCTATACGTGGCTCTTCAACAATAACACCTTATCCGTTCAGGACGATAGTCGCCGCTTCGTTTCGCAGGAAACGGGAAATCTGTACATTGCCAAAGTGGAGCCATCGGATGTGGGCACCTACACCTGCCTCGTAACCAACTCCAAAGCAGAGCAAAGCGTGCAGGGGCCACCCACTCCGCTCACGCTCCGCAGCGATGGTGAGTTGTCTGGGCACGGCTGGCTAAAAACATGTAGCACAACACTGACCGGTCCATCTCCCAGTATGGGAAACTGGTATCGCTATACATCCTCGTGGGGGTAAAAGGCTCCCAGTAAAAAGATGTGCAGTGGGACACGATCCCACGGTTTCTGCTGGATTGAAATGAGATTTGAACTGTCAGGACAGGGACGATGAGATGAACACATGCAAAGAGAGCAGCACTCAGTATCGTGGAAAAATAGCAGGAGAATGTCAAATGATATGTTAATATTTTTCATCTTAGGGGTGCTCGTGTTGAGGTTTAAATCCAGCAAAACTTTCTAAATTTATAATCTAGGAATAGCTTGAATATCAGCTCTTAGAAAGCTGCTTCAAAGTGAGTCATTGAGGTGAGAAACTCACCCACACATATACAAATACCTTTCTGGCAACACTTCTAATTAAATGTTCACAGGGAGAAATATATACCCAGGAAATCTTTACAGAAAGCTTGGTTTGTAAGTTTACTCACCTAAATTTCACCACACTTGTACTGTTTGCAAAGCAGTGGCAGCAGTCAGTAACAAAAATCTGTACAGAGTTATATTTCTAGGATAAATAAAACTACTCTGCATTATAGAAAAATACTTCTGCTATGTGACTGCTGCTTTATAATGCATTCCATCAGATCACCCAAAACAAAGTTACAGTTTTACAGCTCAAAAGTTAATAATTTGGTACAAACTGTGAGTGTAAATGCCCAAGATCTTTTCTGACTATTTTCTTCTTTTTCATAAACTTACTTTATTCCTTTTTTTAGACTTATTCTATCAATCTCTTTATCTTCTCCCATTCGTTTTGGTGGCCTCTGGATTGGGTCCTAAACAGACAGCCTCTAAGGCAACGGTGCAAATTGTATGCGTAATATCAGCCAGAACCCTGTTAAACATAAAATAAGAATCAGTTCATTTTCAGTGTGGAATCTGCCCTAAACTGATAATGGATTATCTGTGGTTTATCAGATGTTCAGCCAGATTTTCAAATGTGATCATTACATCTAATTACATCAGTCTTTCTCAAGCCTGGAGCTCTCTTTTGGATGTTTTAAAGAAGTTTTAAGTGTTTTACAAGTATTTTGGATGCAGATTTCCATAATTCTCTCTTGCACTCAGAATCTATACTGTGTCCTGAGAAGTGTTCGTGCAGTGAAGTGGCCAACGTTGAAGGCATTGTTTGTTCACACCCCTTGACAAGAGATGTGAACCTTAAATCATCTTTAAAACCTTAATGTACAAGTGTAACGTACTTGTACACGTATAAAGTCACGCTCTTCAATACTGTGAAACACTTAGAACTTGCAGATTCCACATAAGCTTTGAGCATAGGGTTGTATTTTGCCCAGCAGGCTGAGCCAGCTCCATAGCTCCATGTGTTGATGGCCACGGGTGGAACGTAAGGCTCTGACGTTGGTAGTGCCATCCTTTCTTTCACACTGAAATTCTGTTGTGCTAGACAGGTCTGAGGCTCAACTGGAGTGCTAGCTGTTTTGATGTTCAACAGGTGTGATGGGGGAGTATGAACCAAAGATTGAAGTACGTTTTCCAGAAACAACATATGCAGCGAAGGGCTCATCTGTTAAACTGGAATGCTTTGCCCTTGGAAAGTAAGATTTTTTGTCTTTTATTAAAATCTGGGTTCTAACACTGTTCTACAGTGAGGAAAAAAACGGTTCTTTCTAATTTGCACTGCAGATTTTATTTTTGCTCGGAATGTGACTTTGTAAAACTTACCTATTTTTAAACTTATCTTGGTTTGATTGTTTCTGTGCAATGCGGTCCCAAGGAAATGAGAAAGAAAACTACACCGTGACTGAAGCTCACTTGGTTGCAGTATGAAATGGTGGGAAGAAGGGTGGGGAGGGAAAATACGAGCAAAGACTCTATTCCTTGGGAGTAGTTTTAACTCTGGGATGAGACTCACTCTAGGTTTCAGTGGAACTGCACATTCACATCCGACCTGTGTAAAAACAGGAATACTGTTCGTTGTGGCATTGTTTTAAGAATGAAACTTAGGGAAACGGGTTGTGTTTCAAGAGCACATAGACTGTCTAGAATGGATCTACCAGATTCACATAGCTCTCAGCACCTAGTAGTAGTCCTTACTGCCAAAATCTACGACTCTATTGGGCTTGCAGTAGCCTATATTTTCCCTAGGTCACTTAAACTGCTGTATTCATTTCGAAGCAGTAGTGCATTCAAACAGCAAGGGGTGCTCTGTATTCAAAGAGCAGGCACTTAACTGAATAAGTGTAACCAGCCTAGGAAAACTAGTCTTTCCAATGAGCATCTGTTTTCCCTGGAAAAACTACAATAACCTTAGATTGTTGACCTCTATTTAGTTTAAGTTCACTTTGACAATCGGTTTTAAGGTTGTAAGCTTTTAAAGTGTTTAGAGCTTTCCCAGAGGTTAAAAGCCTGACTTGCAGACAGCACAAATTAATCAAATGTTCTTCTGGAACCTAGGCTGAGAAGTAGAAAAATAAAGCAAACAGAAATTTAGTAAGACAGGAAATGGCCTTCCCTTTTGGATGAGATTTTTATATAAACTAATTTTGGGGCTAATTGTTATTTAAGGATGAAGAATGTTTCTACAGAGCCATATCCAAAGGCATATGCGTTTTTTTGGCCTAAAACAAGTACCAGACTGGAACACTCCTGCTAAAGCTGATTCTCCTTTCCAAGTACTGTCAAGCTACTTCTCTTTAAATACCTCCTTAATTGTGTGTGAGTCAGTGCAGGCTTTACATTTCAAGTTGTCATTTTATATTACCATCTGTTGCATGGGAAGCATTTAACAATGATACACTGACTGCAGAGAAGCATTTCAGAACGAGAGTAAGTGATATGTACAAAGCAGTGCCTTCCTTCTGAAGGGGTGAAGATAGGCCACGCTGATGTGGCATGCAGGCTTTGCCATTTCAAGAACATCTCAAGAAAACAAAAAAAGTTGGACTGAAAGGACATAGGGATAATGAAATCCCTCAGGGAGCACAGTACCTTCTACTCTGTGCTTAGAAAATGGAATGGCTGAGAGGGTTAATGCAGATTTAATGTATGTTTTCTTCTTCATATATAGGACTGTAGATGAAACTAGTCCTGCTATACTTCCCCGGAGCTATACTGAGTAAACCCCAGTGATCCATGGGCAGAAATCCTTTCTTCACAACTTTTTTTCCTGTATTGCTAATGAGCATCTAGTTCAGTGTATGTATTTGAGAGGTGCTTTTTGTGAGTAAAGGCTCTTTGATGGTGTCACTGGAGAATTTCTCCTCTAGATTTTTTTTTTTTTTGATAAATTAGATGTCCCATACAGAACTGTACTGTTTTCAGCCTGCTTTTTTTTTTTTTTTTCTTTCAACAGAGCCTTGAACCACATTTTTGCTAACATGTCAATCAGTGCAAAAGCTTTATTTCAGCACTGGCATTTATATGTGAATAGAGCAAGAGAAACAGATTGCAGGTGAAATACTCTTAACTTATTAGATAAGGCCAGATTTCTAAAGGTATGTAGGTGATTAGTGGTATTGTTAAAAGCTTGAAGTTTCCTACCTCCAGCTGTTTACAATTGTAGTTAGACACATATAAATGCAGCAGTGCGGCCATCTGCACCTTTAGATGCCTAAATTCCACTAAAACTCTATCCCCTACTATTGTCTGTTTATGTTAAAATCGATTCAGCTCAACAGTTGTTGAGCTATACCTCTGATCTGCCACAAGTACTAACAGTTATTACCTCTCTTGGATTTCAGAACTGCTTTCCCATTATCCATAATTTTCTATATTCATACTGTTAGTCCACTGGTTCAGACAATGCTGTCAGCTGCTGCTGCCTCTGCGCTATGAATAACAGAAATCTTTCACATCTAAAGCAGATTATAGGCAACCTGCTGTGGTTTTGGTCTCCAAAAGTCTTAAATGAAAGTACTTTCATGGTATTTAGAGAAATAGCATCTCTTTTCTATATGGAACAGCAAATCATACCTATTGGACCTTGCTCAAAAAACACTTCCACGTTTGAAATGGAAGTACAAAAGGCCACATTTACAGCGGAGTTTTAAGATGCCTTTTTACCTGGAGGAACTCAAAGCCACCTAGCTAAGCAGTACTCCTCCAGCCAGGCCGTGGGACTATACCCTGGGTGGGTATAGTCCACATACCTCTGTTGCAAAGCTCTTTTTGCATTTTACAGGAAAATATCATGACTGACTCTTGCAAGTAAGTGTTCAAGGCCAGGTTGGATGAGGCTTTGGGCAACCTGGTGTAGTGGAGGGTGTCCCTGCCCATGGCAGCAGGGTTGGAACTAGATGATCTTTGAGGTCCCTTCCAACTCTAACCATTCTATGATTCTATGAATGGTCTTCTAGCCCAGTCATAAAACCTTGTTTGTTTTGAGGAAAATAAATACAGGAGGGGTGAAGGTATTTATTCCTGGGAAAAGATTTTGGAGGGATGGGTCCTGAATGGACAAAAGGACTTGGGCCAGCTATCAGCTGTGAATCCTGCTTTGCAGAACAGGGACCATGAATAATTAGGTGGTTTTTGAAAAGTAAATTAATCCCCACGGATGGGAATATGATTGGGCAAAAAGAAACATAAGTACCATGCATCTGTCTGATTGGCGTGAGGAATCTAAACAGGAAAAAATATGCACATTACACTTAATTCTTTAAAAGAGGGAAAACTGAAATATGAAATAGCAGCTCGAGTGGTTCAAATACTGCAGCCTATGGCAATTTAATAAGAGATGAGACTTTGTTCCACACTAATATTCATTATGTTGACAGTGTTTAATACTATGCCAGTATTAAAAGTCATGTTTTGGATCAAGCTATATTAATCATGCCATACATCTAAATTATTGTTCACTATGTCTTTGAGGGGATTGAGTACCATGAAAGACTTATGTTCAGTTGAATTACTGTGCTTCTTTCTCTAAATTTCTTCCAAAATAACTTTTTTTTTTTGTTGCACAAATAAGAACAGTTTCTGGAATGAAAATAAGCAAAGTAGTTTCCATGCCTGGTGCACACATTTAATAAACTGTGTCTGTTTCACGTTTTTCTCCATTCTCTGTTCTAATATAGGGAAATATTCTGTTCAGAATTCCTGCAGATTGGCCATTGCCAGCTGAGGTTGTAAAGAGCATATATGAATAATATAAACCAGGATTTCTTCTAACCTGGAATATTTATTTTTCATGGGAAGACCCCACATACTCAAGGAAGCATTTTTCTAGAGGCTACTAGAACAAGTAGATAGTCACACAGCTACAAGTGGGTTCCAAGTAACCATCTTTCCTAAACTGACATTAAAATACCAGGCTTCACTTCCTTAGATGGCTATTCTAGTATATTTGTAAGGAGTTTATGTAGGAGGCTATAAAAGGATTGATTATGGGATTATAAATTCGTATATATGAATCGCTCCTGCCACCACAAGTGGAGTTTGCTATTTTCAACCCATTTTACCAATAGAGCTAGTACATTTTGATTTGTACTTTAAGGGGTAAGAAAGCACCTCTGGAAGATCCTCTCTCCCAGTAGTTAAGGTGAGTGGCTTGTGGCCACAGGAGAATGAGACACAATATGGGGTTTCAGCAAACTTTGCTGTTTCTGAAGTAATACATCAGGGTGATTAGAAACCTGAGTGTTTAAATATGATGCCCCTTGAATCCTGATTCTTCCTAGTGTCAGCAGTTGATGCAGACACGCCAGCAGCTTTCAAACCTCAGCTTTGTCTTGTTTGTTTAACTAGGCATGGTCTTCATTATTGAAGCTGTAGATCTAATTTTATTGTGAAGTGCCCTCAGATGCATTGGACGAAAGATGAGGCAGGGATGCAATGCATCATCTGGCTGCTGAGTCTTCGCTGCAAAAAGGTGGAACCTTCATCTTGATGCGGGCTGTAACGCTGCAGACAAATTAATTTCATGTTCAGTGTGACAAGACTTGTCACCAACTGAAAAATATTTTCCATCGCCTTTTCTTTCGGAGTTAGTAACTTATGGTTTTGTGATTCTGCTGCCTGTATGGTAGAATATAAATTAAATTAGTACTCCTAGATGTTCTGAAGGTTTCAAATAAACCACAGATTTATGTACAAAGACAATCTCATATTTATGCACGGTTTTCTTATTTACTCAGGTGAAAGCAAGACTTTGCCTATGAAGCGTAATAAATTTGAAAAGTGTGCTCATTGTTTCTTTATATATTCTAAAACTTTTTAGCCAGGCAGTTATCTATTTCTAATCTGGTTATTCCTAGTAACTAAATGAAAAAGGTGACCCACCAGTTGTAGGACTGCCCCAAATCTGTATAGGAAGGTACTAGTCTGAGTAGCAATGTCAGATTCTGGTCTTCAATAGAATATGATTGTGCCACAATCCTCCAAAAATTCACAAAGCCATATTTACTAAACTAGGTTTTGTATACATTTACCCATACTTAAAGGACAGTTTCACTTCTTAAAGCATCAACTCTAAAATTTATAATTTGTTACAAAAAGCAATTTCATTAAAGTAAACTTTAAATTGAAATTCAGGGTATTTTTCTACCTTAAGGAGTTTCATATGGCCTGCAGTAATGGTTGCTGTTAAGAGATTTGGTTATAAAAATGTAAACTAACAACAGAAGAAGGTGAAACCAGCCAAAAAAACCCCCTGCCTTCTGCAAAACACAGTGACTGAAGATGCTGGAAAGCCTATAATGAGGTGTCAGCCAAGGTGATGAAGAAATGCACATCTTCTCCAGCTGCTGTGATAACAAAGGTCCTTCCTACGGATGATGGCACAGGGCTGAGCCGCGGATCCTCCTGCGATCTGCTCGTTTAACCTAGAGCTCGGGCTGACGAGGAGCTGCTGTCCTGACAAACGAATTCCCTCTGCTGATGAAAGTAGGGCACTCGGTGCAAGGCTCCCTGGCAGGAGAACAAAGTGCTGTTAACTATTTATTGCGATTACGCGTTTCAACACAGCAAAGTTGATGAACCAAGCTCCGAGGTTTTTATGTCATCCTGCCACGGTTAACATCGGAGGGAGTGCGTTTCAAACGCCCTCGTGTGCGGCCAAAAACGAGGCGAGTTTGCCTTGAAACATCCCCAAGGATGTCATTATAAATATGTGGTGGGGATGAGGAAAACAGGACAGCGTCTTCAGCTCAAACCTTGGTAAACTTGACTTGACAAGTTGACAGAAGGGGCCTTTTTCCACAGAGCCCTGCCTCTGGCCTTGGTGTCAGACCAGACTTTCCTTATTCATGAACAGTCAGTGCTAAAAACAAATGGCTAATAGAAGAGGAGATATTTAGATGAAGCACTTTCGGGTAGTGGAGCATGAATGAATGAATCTAATTGTTGTTTTTCTTCTCCCATATGGCAGTTAGTTGCTTTTAATCTTTGTTACAAAAAAAAAAAAAAAAAAATCCAGAAGAGATGCCTTTCAAGTAGTTAAATGCTTCTGGCATTCAATGCACTGCATGCTTCTGTTATGCAGTAGCTGTTCACCCACTGTTTAATATGCAATAGCATTTTAAAAGCCAGCCATGCTCTCCTTCGTGTTGTTAACCGTCCGTATCAATCGACCACAACTCTGCAAAATACCTCTGGCTGTTTTCCTGACTGCAGCACGGAGACTGCGGGACAGACCTGTGCTGCACTGGAGCTGTGTTTCTCTTAAATAACTAAAAGTAACTTGTTTTATAGAGATTCTGCGTTAATGACATCATGTAAGATTTGTGGAGGAGACACCACCTTTCAACAAGGCGTTTGAAAAATAAGATGAGAAAAACAGACAAGCCCTTTTAAAGTTCCTAATAAGGAATAATACTAAACAAAATTGCATCTAAAACAGGTTTTGCTCTCATAGCAAAGGGCAATTAATAAAGGTGGTGATGACAACTACTGTTGTCCAAAAAGGTTTAGAATTTAAACAACTATATCGGTCTTGAACCAAAATGAGAAGCAGAAGAAGGAAATGTCAGTTGTTCTTTCCAGCTCTTTCAGTGGTTAATGATGTCTGGCGTGTCCCAGTCTCTCTCGCAGTAAATTGTTCAGCTGTATTGAAGGAGTCATGCAAAAGTCAGAACTTGGGTGTGTATATGAGTTATCCATGTATGTACCTACCAGCACAGGTCTTACACCAAAACGTGGAGCAAATTTCTTATAGTTCCAAACCATTTTCACAGGCAGTTCAGTTATGATGGAAAACAAAAGGTAGCTAGAGAAATTATTATGCTGCTTAAATAGCTCCCTTGGTTAAATTTTTGGGTTTGGGACTGTGATTTTCTGCTTTATGGAGCAGGGGAAGGGTGGCTTGGAGGCTTTCTTGCTGAGCTGAACTCCCAGCAGCATGAGGAAAATGCTTACAGACTCCCAGTGCACCTGTCCTATCGTTCAAGCTTAAATGCAGAATTAAGCAAATTTATGGGACGGTTTATTCGTTGCATGTCAGAGTGGTCTAGCTGTGAATTGTCCTGTATATAATCTATTTCTGTTGATTTTATTATTCTATTTTCTCTGTTAACATCTGCCCAGCTGTTCAATCTACGTCATTTGCTGAGTGCTCACACTTCTCCCAGGTCCTGGTTCTTCTGGTTTTGGGTGAATTTGCAAACATCCTAACCACACAGGCTCAAAATGCAGAAATTAGGCCTAAACTTATGCTGTGTTAAGTAATTTATCCATTTTGTGTTTGTGACTTGATTTCTTTGGACCATAAATAAAGATTTGAACCAGGGACCTAAATAATTTTAGGGTGTGAGCAGTTACAGCCTCTGCTAAAAAGAAATAAATACTTTGTAAGCCAGCACTGCAGGGCAGACACCTTAGGGACTGCCAGACAAGGGCAATGTGCACTTCTAATTTCCATGGAAGTTATGTTTTCCAGTTCAGTACCGAGTCTTTGCTGTTGATGTTGCTTTCAATGGAAAAGAAGTCAGGATTTAGCCAAAGCCTCTGTAAAAAGCTGTTCAAAACGTAACTGCTCGCGTCTGCTTTTTCTAAAGCAGCTTACTCCACTTTGCAGAAACAGAAAGCAACTGTGAAATTCGAGACTCTTAATATTTCAAAGTGTTTTGATAACATAATAGATCATGAAAGTGAGGTTTGTACTTTTTGTGATATTACCAGAAATCCAAGAACTATTTATAGCTGCCTTCGCACTTAACTATTTTCTTAGTGTATGATATATATTGATCCAAATATAAACAAAAGTTATAGAAAACGACAGAAACATGAAACAAGAAATATTCTCTTTTGTCTCTATCTCCTTTCAGCCTGTCTCATGCTTTCCACTTCCCCACTCAACTGTCTGTCTGCCCTCTTCTACTATGGCTCCCATTTTTTATACCTAGATTTATCGGTATTTTTAGGTGCTTTGAATTCTTGTCCAATATTTCCTATTTTGAGGTGTGAAAATACCTCTACTGCTACAGGGAATTTGTTTGCTCTGAAAACAGTTCAATAATTCAGTGCTTCTATGGTGTTTGCTTGGACTTCCAAAGTCATTCCGTCAGTGTCACAGTGTTTAAAAGCAGATTTGAGCCCTAAGTAAGAGTTGCTGTGGGGAAAATCTAAATTGTCCTAAGAAGCCATCATAGAATTGACTGAAGACTTCATCACGCTCTTGGACTTGTGCCCCGAAATAAATTGGGCAGGTTATAAAATCTCAGTCGTATGAACCTCTGCACATGACGCTTAGAAACAGAAATATTTGGGTTTTAATATTATTACTCTTATGAAAAGATTTCATATAATCTTTTCTCTGCCATAACAAATGCTCTCTCTCTTTTTCTCTGATTAAATATAATTATTTAGTCCTGTCCCTAGTATTAGCTGGAAGAGGTCTGATGGAAACTCATTGGCAAAGAAAATCAAACACAACAAAACCAAAGGAGTTCTTGAAATCCCAGATGTTCAGCAAGAAGATGAAGGCTCCTACGAGTGTGTTGCAGGAAACACTCGAGGAAGAAACATTGCAAGAGGTCAATTATTTGTCTATGGTAAGCAGATTGATTGATTTCTTCATTTATTTTTTTTTTACAGAGCGTCATGGTGTTCAGATGTGTCTTGTAGATGAAGTCTGTTAGCCCCTTACTGGAGATACAAAATGTAGCTCAGGTTAAGCTGATTAAAAAAATGATTGGAGGTCTGCAGTGACCTTCACTGAATTACATCCTCAGCAAATAAAGATGTTTTGCATTAAAACTCAGATTGAAAATGTGGGTTGTGCCATGATGAAGTTGTAGAGGTTAATAGGAGGCAGAGAGAAATCCCTGGTACGTTCACATGAAACGTTAAGGGCAGGCAAAAAGATTTACTCTCAACAGCTCGCAGCAGCATAAGGCTGTGCTGCCCCAGATGCAGATCAGGGAAGGACTCATGAGGTTTTGGTTCATGAGAGTGTAAGATTATTTCACCTCCTATTCTAGCTGAACCATATCGCTCCATAAACAGATGAGAGCAAAGCAGGGAGACTCATTCCACTGCCTCCCTCTCCTTCCTCCTTGTCTAAAAGTGGGGAATAATACTTCTGTGTGACTTCCCTCTCTTTCCTCTTCCCTTCCTGCTTGCATTAGTTTCCTGTGATCCACATCACACGTGGTGGTCCCTCATAGCCAAGGTGAATTTTGTGCTCTTTGGTTCCACTGTTAATACCCAGGCAAAAAGCAACATATTTTGACATGAATAAGAAGAGAGATCTTTACCTCATAAATCTCTCAAAAGAAAAAGAAAAAAATAAAGTGAGGAAAAAAACTATGGAATGGTAGACTGAGCCTACAATTAACATCTGTTGAGAAGACCTTGGCAAGTTTGTTTTTTGTTTTTTTTTTTAAGTAAATCTCTTCTAATGAAGAGATGCAGGCTTTGCTGATAAGCCACCAGCCTCCTGCAGCCATGGCTAATGCCAAGATCTATGCCAGGAATAGAGCAGTCTGCTGCTGTTTTGAATATTTAATTAATTCTTTGCTTTTAGGGGGTTATTTTTGTTCTCGTTGCTCACTAGTTTTTGCAGAACATCAATCAAGCAGTTCCATTAAAATTAAGTTCAGTAGATTACCTGGACGTGATTGATAACAGCATAGGCAATTACGAAATTATGATCAGTTAATGCAATCTAAAACAATGGGCTTATTAAATGTGCTTTGTAAATTAATTAATAGCTGCTCACAGTGAAATATATAAACAGCACTCGTGAAGCTTTTGCGCAGGATTTTTTTTTATCGTATTAGGAGTGGGCTGGTAGATTATCTAGGAAATTAACTTCCTCTTGCTTAATTTCTGTGCTGCTGTGTTTTCACTCTGCAGGTAGCTTGTCTTTAGGAAATAGGATTTCTTTCCTGGATGCTGCCTGCTGCTTTGTGCATGATGCCTGGATCCCATGCCTTAGGCTCTGAGAGCAATAAAAATGGCATGTAATTAGAATCACTGTTAAGCATGGTGGGCTGGATCCCAGATACTTTTCCGTTCTGGGAAGCAGCTAGTTGACATCCTACTAATCCAGTGTTGGGCAACCTCAAGGTACTTTGGGGCAGAGACTGAGCTACCTGCGGAGTCATTCTGTAGAAGGGAGGCTTTTTAGTAGCTTGTTCTGCTACTCTGAAAGCATAACAGGTCTCTTCCCAAAAATTAAATGGCTCTGTGTAAGAAGTGCATGTATGTGTGTGTATATATATTTATATACATATGGAAATTACGGCATTATGATTTAATAACCCAGCCAAAAGTTTTTCACAGGACGTTAAGACATCAGCCATGTATGTTAGAGGCAAAGGGGTGCAACCTGGTATCTCAGTTGCACAGGGCTTGGGTCTATCCCAAAGTTAGGTGGGTGCTAGTTGTTCTCCTTAGGTTTCATATTCACCTACATCTTGACAACTATTCCCAATATCAGCCTCTCTCAAGCTAATTCCTGCTCAGCTCAGTCCTTGAGTGCTTAGTTGGACGTTTACAGAGCTCGTCGGGGATTCCTGCAAATTCTGCTGTTATGCAGCGATGAATTTATGTCAATATGCCACGAGTATTCAGAAGGTGTTATTTGGATCTGAGTCGCCCTAATTCTTTTGTGTAATGTTTGTGTTGTGAATTACAAAGAACCCACTGTCTGAACCCATCGTCTCAGGGATGTGGGTAAAACAGAGGAGTAGCACTTATAATCCATGATTTTTGTTAGCTGCTGACTGATGATTTTGATACTTCTACTTTTGGTACACAGATCCAAGCACCTTGAGAGGAGGGCTGTTTTTCAGAAATTGGGGGTCTCAGTGCTTTCAGAGGGCATGTCCAGAATTTCAGGCATCTAAAACCACTGCTGTTGCAAATTTTGGCCTTAAAAATGAATAACATCTAAACTGATCTTCCTGCCCACCAGTCACTCGGTCTCTAACAGTTTTCCAAGTTAGTCCTGAAGTTTAATGCCGGGGAATTGTTGTGCAGAATTCACTCACAATACAGTAAGAATGTGTTGGACACATACTAATTAGCCTTGCTCAGCTCATTAATTAATGGCAGCATACCTCCAGCAAAATAATTTTTCTCCTGCTTAAGATGGTTTGCATATTCTTTTCAGCACTCCCTGAATGGGACAAAAAAATCCAAAATGCCTTTCTGTCTCTCTATGACAGTTTAGTTTGGGAATGTAAGGCAAAAGGAAAACCAAGCCCTTCCTACAGTTGGTTAAAAAACGGCCAGCCGCTCACGTCAGAGGTAAGGTTCCTGGTGTCTTGTTTTCTTTCTTCCTCCTCTTTTTGTTTTTACATGTTCTAGTCATGACATTCCTTTTTACAGTGCATTATCTTTTTTTTCAGAGATTTTATTAAAGCTGAACATATCAAAACAAACATAACAGTACAAACTCATTGCAACACAGTGCCTGAGTTCTTGGAGTTCATCTTTATTGAAAATGTATGGTGTTGCCAATTTACATAGATAGATACACAGATTTCTTCATATGATTTATCTTACAGAGCATCTAATTGCTACAAGATATGACAGTATGGATGGGTTTAAAAATAACAAGAAGGGTCTGTGCAGAACCACTAGATTCATTTGTAGACGTAATCCATAATTAACCGGTAGGATGCCAACTGACTGTTTGTGGAAGAGAGTTTCAGAGCTGGCATTGCAAACTGATCAGCCTGTTAACTTGCACTTTTCTTCTGTTTCTCGTCTTAATCTGGAGCCTGGATGGACCTTTGGTCTCATGCAGATGGCCTCTTATGCTATGTTAGTCCTTTAACTGAATCAATCAGCAATGAAAATCGGCTAATATTGAGGTTAATACTTTTCTGGCGCTATGTAGAGGAATAGCAGACTAAAGAAAGTCACATGAAGTTCTAAGGAAAAGATGAATATGTGAAAAAACTCAAAGGAGAAAGAGGAACCAAGTGGAAAGTAAAGTAGCAAAGTTGTAGGAGCGCAGCAGGGGAGGGGAAATCAACTGGAGCTCAAACATTTAAGAAACCTGATCAGATATTTATGTAGACATGTTTTTGAGATCCCAGCTTTATCACTTTCCAGGCAGAATAGTCATGCTTCTGTGGTGGCCAAACTTTGGCACATCTGTCTTCTAATCTTCACTCGTTGGTGACCTCATGGAGAATGACTTCTGTGGCAAGAGACTGTTTGCTGAGTTTACATTCTGCTGAGGCCAAGTTTTCCCTTTTTAATAAGCAACTATTCAGCATCTATTGGGCATAAAATGGCATGGCTCGTTGGTAATGCATTTGCACTTGGAAAAAAAAATAATACTGTGATTAATTTCTGTCTAGCAAGAACAGATACAGAATAATTTCCAAAACATATGGGGTAAATTAACACCTGCTGGGTTGCAGAACCAGCATTTGTTTGACTCAGTAGTACTTATCTGAAACGATTGGAGGGGGGTCCAATCTTCCATATGATTTTCTGCTGGATTAGTCCTAAACAGCCCAACTAGTGTCTGAGAAGGCTAGCCAGAATTTACTTGGATTGCTGTTTTTCTGAACCTGATCATTTTACTCATTGTCACCTCTTCCAAAGCAAGACTATCTAGTTTCTCTCTCTTTGAAGACAGTGATGTTTAGAATCTGTCACTCTTCAATTGCATTGTTTCAATAAAAAAAAAAAAAAACAAAAACACTCTACAGACACATTTTCAACCAGCGTTTTCATGGTACTTACAGTGTATCGTAAATAGAGTACTTCAGGCAACAAAATGCTGAATGTTATTGCTCAATGGACAAAATGGATAGTTTGGAGGTGAAAGTACAAGGGAGATGCAATAAAATATTCAGTCTGTCACAGCACCCTGCTTGTTGGAAATATCACAGGGAGAATACCTTCCAGACACTTTCCACCTTGGGGCTGATTCTGAGGATATTGTCTACTCTTTGTCAGACCTTTCTCTCTGACCACCTACTTGGTCATCCTGGCATTATTCCTGCCTTGTGTACATGGTGTGCTTTATTCTTCTCTTTGTCTGCAAAGCTCAAAAGAGCCAGCAGAGAACGGTGGGGGATTCGGCATGTGTTTGAAACACGAGTGTTGCTTCGGAAAGGGGCTTTGTATTCAAAGGATGTTTGTAAAAATAGAATGCATTGAGAGGACAGCAAACAGCCTGAAGGTAAAAATAAGTATGCAAAAAAGATATCTGTAACGAAAGCGTCAAAAAAAATTAACAGTGGATAAGGAGTGTAATGTTGTTAATTAGTTTGCAACACACCAGCCATATGACCGCAGGCTGTGCTCTCATCAAATTTCCAAGCTAAACAAGGTTGGCTTGGGTGAGTTCTTCGTTGGGAGACCTCCAAGGAAGAGCCAGAGTGTTGGAAACTAGAGCTCCATGGCTCAATAGGTGACACTCTCCCCTCTGCAGGCACCTCAAGAGAAGCCCCCACGACAGGCTGTGCAACTGGGTTATCCGTGGCAACCCAGCAAGTCAGGTCATATACGTTCAGCGGTCCACAGATACATTTTAGATGCTTGTTGCTGTTCAGCAAAGACTGTACCGTGTACTCTAAGAATACATGCTCCCATTACTGCTTCAGAGGCAGCAGAGCCAGACAAAAGGAGCAGCATAATAATAGTAGTAATATCTGTTGTTTCAGAGTTACATTTGGTGATGGAATTTATATTCCCTGTTGTGGGTTTCTTCCACACTGATCTGTCTCAGCGAATACGTTTTCTTCTCCTTCTCAATGTTACTTTGCAATGAAACTATTATTGTCTCCAGAGGCTAGTAATTGTAAAATCACAAAATATTTAGCTTTAAGCTATGCTTGTAGCATGAAACAGGCTTTTTTCTCTTTGCCAAAACAGAGCAAATAAGACTCCTTTTAACACATCAAAAACCAAGCTCCGGTCCAAATTTACCTACTGTGCAGCTTCCTCTATTTCAGCAGAATTGCACTGAAGAAACTTAGCGTGTACAGAAATTCCAGCCACGAGGAGCGTGCTCTCCCTCTGATCTGAACAGCTGCCTGTGGGTTTCCAATAGGAATTTTAAAAGCGTTGGCTTGCAGTAGAGCTTTGTCAGTGGATCATTTTTCAGTGACTTGTGATCTGATGACATTTGAAACGTTTCCATTATTTGAGCACCTCTGTCTCCTGTGGAGCTTTTCTGATCATCTTAGATTATCATCATCAGATTCATCTCGTCGGAGGAGGGGGGTAGGCCATGGAAGATGCTCCAGGCTCCCAGCGTGGAGCAGCTGTACCTGCCCTGCAGTAGCTGCTTTTGCTTCTCCTTCACAGCGAAGCATACCCACAGATTCACAGCTCAACAGTGCAGAGAAACATGTGCCACAGCTGGAACATCTGGGCAAACCTACCCAAGGCAATGACTCCGCAACACATGCCTTGGGGTTCTTGAAAAGTTCGAAGAGCTAAGAGGTCTGAAAACATAACCACCATCATATAGCCGAGGTATACATCGTATTTCTGATGTAGTCGTTGACATTATTTCCAAGAAAATAACATTTCTGCTTCTCAGTTATGATCAGGTGCATCAGTGTGATACCAAAAAACTTTGGGACTGTACACTCATTGACTATCTTGATGGTTTTTTGCTTGTTTTTCTTTTACCAGGAAAGAATTCAAATAGAAAATGGAACTCTTATCATACCTGTGCTGAATATGTCAGACTCTGGCCTCTACCAGTGTGTGGCAGAAAACCAGTACGACACCATTTATGCCAACGCTGAGTTGCGGGTGATAGGTGAGTAAATGCCACTGAAATGAGCAGGGACTGAGTATAACGGGACACTTGTTTAAAAAAATCGAAATTAAGAAATGAGTAGATTAAATTCTATCTGGCAGTTAAGTCTGTTGATATTTTTTTTGCTGCTTGCTCTTTGTCACCCATGTGTAAATGTTTTTGTTTGGTTGGGTTTTTTTTTTATTTTGTGACTGGTTTGGAGGAAAATTCTAATCCTGTGTGGTCTTTTTTTATCACACACAACAATTCTAATGAATGCTATTTCTCACTTAGTATTATGAGTTATTAATTTAGTTATTCTGCAGTTTTTAAAAGTCAATTTCAAAAAGTGGGAAAAATGGTTTTAACTATAAACAAAAAGCATATGGCAAATGTGTATAAAAAAGCAAATAACACATAGCAAATAATCTCATTAACGATTGCAGAGATGCATATAGAATTGAATGTGTTCATATATTATAAAAAGTATTCTGTTACAGATATCCAAATATAAAGTTTGTTCAACAGCCAAATATTAGTGAAACCAGTAAAACACAGACTTTAAGAGCACCTAATAGTTGTACACATCTTGTGTTTTCTCCTTCTCCAAGAATGAATTTTTACACAAATTACTGGACAAATAAACACATTTTCAGAAAACAGTGTCAGTTTATGAACAGAAAGCCATTGAAAAACTGTATTTGTAATTGAATACTCTGAACTCTGCAGACGAATACATGTGGCTGGGATCAGGAGTGTGATGTTTATCCTACTGACATCACTGTGCTCAGGAACCTCATTCTTCATCGCAGATAGACCCATTCTCCCAGTCTGCAGATAGCCCTAAGGAAAGATTGTCAGAACAGACAGTTTCTAGTTAGTTTAGAAACAGCATAAATAAGATTCAATGAATTCCGTTTTTTGGTGCTTAAATACATTTTTCATGTTTGATGTATCTACTTTTGCAGAAACCTCAAAAGCAAAGCAATTATTGGATTCACCTACTATGTAATTCGGAGAGAAGAATTTAGCGAGTTCATTTAGTAACTTGTCAGCTGCAAACTGTTCTGCTCTTCTTTCTCTTTACTTCTCTGTTTTTAGCCGCAGCACCCGATTTTTCCAAAAATCCTGTGAAAAAAACGTCTGTTGTTCAAGTTGGAGGTGAAGTCACAATCGGTTGTAAGCCGAGTGCTTTCCCCAGAGCAGTTATTAACTGGAGAAAGGGCTCAGAGGTTCTGCGCCAGAACAAAAGGTACCGTCATAAACCGGTTGCTGGCTTGCCGGGTGTTCTCTGTTTTAATATCATTTAACCATCCCCGAGGCGCAGCCGACTTGGTATTGCTTTTGACAGCTCGTTGATGGAAAAACTTTGATGCCAGAGGCCTGTTTGTCTTGAGCTGTGGCCGTGCAGCTCTGCAGATCCAAAGCTGGATGAGAAGAAAGCCGAACCAAACACGCGGGTAATTGCACGATACAGATGTTTGTGTTCATCAGCAGTTACTTCTCTGCAGCGCTATCAGAGCTGACTGTTCACCACACATACAGCCTGAGTGAGTCAGCCTCGTGTAGGAGACATCAGTGGAGGCTTCAGGGAAGCGGGACGTGCCCCCAGGCTGCGGTGGAATTGCTTCGCAGCCGTACAGGTTGTACAATAACCCATAGCTAAATCAGCCTCCGAGTGGAGCATCTCCCTTGTGAGGAAAGGCTGAGGGAGCTGGGTCTCTTTAGCTTGGAGAAGAGGAGACTGAGGGGGGACCTCATTAATGTTTATAAATATGGAAAGGGTGACTGCCATGAGGATGGAGCCAGGCTCTTCTCAGTGGCATCCAATGATATGACAAGGGGAGATGGATATAAGCTGGAACACAGGAGGTTCCGCTTAAACATGAGGAAGAACTTCTTCCCAGTAAGGGGAACAGAACACTGGAACAGGCTGCCCAGAGAGGTTGTGGAGTCTCCTTCTCTGGAGATGTTCCAAACCCACCTGGACGTGTTCTTGTGTGGTCTAATCTAGGTGGTCCTGCTCCAGCAGGGGGATTGGACTCGATGATCCTTTGAGGTCCCTTCCAATCCCTGACGTTCTGTGATTCTGTGTGATTCTGTCTCTTCTGTTTAGGCAGGGTTTAGCCACTGGGCCACCGTGCTGGTACGCTCCCTCGCCAACTGGTACGGGCTTGTGTGGCCTTCAGCAGGGCTTTACTGAGGTTTGATCTGTGATGGCTGGTAGCTTGTTTGTGACTTGCCACAAACTGTCTGCACTATCACGTGCTAATGGCAATTAGATGGTAAAGCATTAAAATCAAAAGTGTCTTCCTGACTTGAGTAGGTTGTGACTAACATACACAACATACAATCGAGATGATATTTTCATATACAAACATAGACAGACAGATGAAATGGGCAACAGTGTCTAAGAATGGTAATCTTTCTCAGCATCTCTTTCAGTTCACAGATTTAACAGCAAAACTGTTTTATCACATTACCTTTTTCAAAGACTGAAAACAGAATCAGTGATTCATAAAGCTCTGGAAATTGAGCAGCAGATTTTGCACATAGGACCGGTTGCTCAAGGAGGGTAGTTTGGGTCACATAAGGCTTAAAATAATTATAATTCATGAAAACAACATTATCCAAAACTGATTGACACAAAGAAATATTTATCTATTCCATACTGAAGTAATGTACAAGTATACCAGAGAGTTATATATGAAAAAAGTGCAAATCTGAGAAGAGATATTTCACATGGGTATTCACAAGGAAACAGAATCCATGCTACAGGCTGTAGAGACCTTTCCTATTATTTTCCTTCCCTTTCAGTAATGGCAGTTTTATTTTCTGTTTAACTGCTCAGCTATTGGTGAAAAATACTTTTCTAGCTAGTGCTCAGCCAAATCTTTTTTGCACTTTAATTGTACAGTCTATTCAACAAAAACGCCTGTTCATCCCTATTAGACAAAGCCTATTGCTGCAGCGTGTACAAAACACAGTTTGCTACTGGTAATCTGGATTTTCTGGTGATGAGAACAGGAGCAAGGAGAGCACTGCTTAAAACTTACAATTTAAATTGTTGAATTAAGCCTAGATCTTGAGATTCCAGTACCATGATATTCCCCATCTGACTTGCTTATAAAAAATATTTACATACCGCACACAGTATTTACTTATGCTTCTGTATTAATTTAGTAACAATAATTATAAGCACGCTGTAATTTTTGAGCATCCCAGAAGGCCTTCTGCTGCTTAGCAGGAGTAAACAAAAGGAGCAGGATTTACACTGAGGCAAAGGGAGAGAGTGTTTAAACTCTCTGTGTGCAAAACATTATTACCAACGTGACCGCTGGTGCAAAATAGAATTTATGAGGCATTTTGATTATTAAATGACAAAACAGCTAATGCCATGGTTTTAAAAAGAGAGAGAATAACTCAACTATATAGTGTTTTTCCAGAGATCTTTGTGACAGAAAACAGAAAATGAAATAAGGATTTGTGTGGCTGTAATTTAAGTACACAGCTAATTAAAGTACTAAAATCATATGTGTCTTTGCTCATAAAAAAGAGAAGGAATCTGCTTTGCCTTTCTCTATATATGTAATTAAACCCTGACATGTCACATACAGATTAACTATTTTAACTAAAGCTTTCCTTATTTCTGCTCCCATTTTATTACGTAGCATTTATAATCTCTCTGGACTTCTTTACTAGGGTTTTGGTTTTTTTTTTTTTTTCCTTTTGAATGTTTGGTTGGGTTATAAATGCTGAAAAAACCTAAATACCAACCCCTTATGGTTCTAACAGCAAAATTGTGATGGACACATAGCTAAGTAAGTCAGATCACATAAGTTCTTCAGAATGATTTAGTCAAATTCAATCTTTTGTTACAGAAATAGTGCAACTAGACCCATTCCACCCTAAGGGGAAAGGATATTGTTTATTTTTCACCTTCTTTCTTTCACTTATGGCGCTAGTTTGTTCCTGATAGTCGTGCATGCACGGCCCTCATCGTCTGAGCTCTTAATACGACAAGATAACACTGCTTTGTATTGAATGTTAGTTTGTAAGTATGTAGAGAGAAGTGTGCTAACTAGGAAGACCTAATTAACAGACTATTTATATTAATAAAAGCACTACGAAATATTTTTTTATTCGAGTTCCTCTGAGGGTTTTGTGTCAAGCCTTTGTAAGTATACCAAGCTGCAGTATTTGGGCCCCTGCTACATGAAAAAATACCTTAACGTTTCCTGTGTCTGAAGCATAATCTTCTGAATCTTTTTTTTTTCAGCAGTGAAGGTCCTCAGCCCTCAGTCCCCTTTTCAGGGCACAGACAGTTTCCTTCAGCCCCAGTTGTCTTTCCCATCTTCTCTGCAGCTCGGTCACATTGTTACCCAGATCTTCACCAGCTTGTATGCTCTCATTTGTGTAGAATACTTTATTTGCATTTGAACAGACACATTAAGCCTTCAAAAAGTTCCCAAATGGGCAAATTTTTGTGCAAGATGGTAAAACAAAGCCTGAATATACCTGTACGAGGTCTGCTTACTGTTCCCAGTCTTAACGACCCCTCCGCATTGAGTACTCTACTTCAAAATTCTTAGAAACAGCAAAATTCCACCCTCATTCATATGGCTCACCCCCTGACTAGTGGAACTTATCTTTGGTTCATGCTGCTGGCCACCTTAGAGAGGGAAATCAAGGTTATCAGCTGCAGGAATCAAAACAAAATTCCACAGTTGGCTAATCCTAGCTGGTTTTACCTGCTCTCTCTCCACGTGATCAGCTTCTCTGGATCACCTAGCAGAACAGCTTAAGGTTTTTGGGTGATTAATCTCCTCCTTCAGATCAAAGTCTTGAGAAATGGGCTTTTGGGAGCAATACCACCTGTCCAATGGGCAACTCTTTGAGAAGATTTTGTTTGTCCTTTGCTGAATGCATGACTCTTTCCTGGCATGTGCTGTGGATTTTTAGCTCAATGTGGAAATGAACTACAACAAAGAAAAAGAACAAGCCTCATGCTCTGAACTCCCACCCTGTGGAGTTTGACACAGAGATGAGCTATTTTCATGTATGCCATATATTCTCAGTAAGTGCAATGGGAGTTTTCTTCATCTCACTTCTATCATTTCGTGCGCCAACTGAGGAAAAGCAGAAAAGAAAGAGTAGAAAGGAACAATTCATATATTAAATAAAGCAAATTTGCAAGTCTAGACACTGATCTCGTCGCAAATGTATGTCTTGTTATCACTTTCAGTGCATTCAGGATCAAGACTCTCATGGAAAACTTATTTTATAAAAATTCCTTGTGATCGAAGCATTTTAATAAATGGGAATTGGAACCCCTTTTGCTTTACCAGGGAGAGGTGCTATTCCCTCACCATGAGTTGAGGATCCCTGAACACTGAAGTGAAGGCATATGAACATATGTGATTCACTCTAGTCAGAATTTAAATGAGGATAGCTGAGGGAAAACTGAGAAATGAGGTAGGCTGAAAGAATGCATTAGTCATATACAGCGCTTTCCATGCATTAATAATCAGTAATAGCAAATATTCATAATTGAAATAGTTTTCTGGGTACTGGACAAGAAGTGTGTTTAGGGGTCACTAAAATATGCTCAATATTTGTTGGCTCCTAGACTTGCTTGTAGGACACAGTTCAGCCCCATCTCTGTGAAGGATGGTAATTGATTCTCTGCCATGAAAAAGGTTGCTCCACTTGGCAAATTCGCCCTCCCATGTCACACTTGGTTTTGGTGTTTCACACTCCAGTTATTGCCATTTCTTAAAGGAAAGCATGGAGGAATGATTGGGCACCGAAATGAAAAGCTGTCTTTCAACAACCTTATGTAAAGAAAACTGAGCAGATGTTATGACAGGAGACTTCTAACACTATGGGTGGGGGGAATTATCTGGTAATTGCTGAGGTTTTACAACTGCCCCTTGAAGCCCCAAAATCAAGGGGATTCTCCTGCTCCCAAGTGAAATGCAAAGACCCAGCAGGTTTCATTAACTGAAGGGTTGGCTCCACTCCTGGTTGTGTGCTGCATCTCAATTGCTCTATCAGTCTCCTGGGCAGGACCATTCTCCTGCAGCCTTCTGAGCACTCCTGGCCTCCATCTGCTTCTGCTTTTCTTCTGCTCCTCAAAGCCAGATTCCAAAACCATGAACCTTTGAACACATTTTAAACTTTTTTTTTGCTATTGGGGAAAAGAATTCTGTCTTATTGTGACTGCTGTTGGATTTAGAGAAATAGGGAGTT